TTGATCATGAGTACCCTAAATTTAGACAAGAATCAAGGAACTTATGTCTTGCATTATGTACAGATGGAATGAATCCGCATGGGCTCCAAAGTAGTACCCATAGCACTTGGCTAGTGATTTTGATAATTTACAATTTACCTCTATGGTTATACATGAAATGTAAATACATGATGCTATTCATGCTAATTTCAGGGCCAAAACAAACCAGAAATGACATAGACGTGTATTTAGCTCATCTAATTGAAGACTTCAAGTTATTATGGGAGATAGGGGTTGAGTTGTATGATAGGTATAGGGAAGAAAAATTTAATTTGAGAGCCTTGTTATTTGGTACCATAAATGACTTTCTAGCATACGGTAATTTATCAGGGTACAGTATAAAAGGAAAACTTAGATGCCCTACTTGTAAAGAAAACATAGATTCAATTAGGTTAGAGCATGGTATGAAGAATGCTTATATGGGGCATCACAGGTGGTTGCATCCAAGTCATAATTATCGACAATTGAAGAAATGTTTTAATAGGAATTCAGAAGAACGTGGCCCGCCTTTAATGTTGACTGGTGACCAATTGTTTGAAAAGGTTAAGGATTTGTATATTGAATTTGGGAAACCTTTTTCAAAGCACCTTAGGACAAGTGGGTGGAAGAAAAAGTCTATTTTTTTTCAAGTTACCATATTGGAAGGTCTTGTATGTTAGGCATTTTCTTGATGTGATGCACATCGAATAAAATGTTTGTGATAGTGTTGTTAGTACATTACTCCATATTCCTGGAAAGACCAAAGATAGCATTAATGCAAGGTTAGACATGCTTTCTATGGGGATAAGGGAAGACTTAGCACCAGAGGAGAAGGGGAGTCGCACCTTTCTTCATCCAGCAGCTCACACATCATCTAGAAAAGAAAAAATTTCTTTTTGTGAGTTTCTTACTGCAGTTAAAGTTCCAAAGGGTTACTCATAAAATATTAGAAACCTTGTGTCAATGAAAGACTTAAAGTTGAAGGGTTTAAAATCTCATGACTGTCATGTTTTGATAGAAAATTTTATTCCGGTGGTGATACATTCTATTCTACTGAATAAGGCACGAGACACAATCATAAAATTATATTTCTTCTTTAAATCTATTTGCAGTAAATTTATTGATCCCAACAAATTGCCGAAGTTACAAAGCTGAATTGTAAAAGCATTGTGTGAGCTAGAGATGTATTTCCCACCTAATTTCTTTGACATAATGGTTCACTTAACCATTCACTTAGTGAAGGAGGTACAAATGTATGGCCCAGCTTATTTAAGATGGATGTATCCTGTGGAGCGTTATATGAAGATATTAAAAGGATATGTCAAAAACCGTAGTCGACCTGAGGGTTGCATTATTAAACAGTATATCAGTGAAGAAGCGGTTGAATTTTATACTGAGTATTTAAAAAATGTCAATTATGTTAGGCTACCAGTGTCTCAGCATATGGGAAGGGAAGGTAGGAAAGGATAATAGGAAAGAATATAGTTACTGTCTCAAATTTATAGTAGGATCAAGCACATCTTTATGTGTTGCCAACTCAGAAGAGGTTCAAGAATTTGTAGACAAGTACTTGGCTGAGCTTAAGAAGGATAATCCCAATAAAGGTGAAACTTGGTATGTAAAAGAACATAATAAGTAATTTGCACATTAGCTGAAAGAGCATATTTATGATAAGTTCAACATGAATCCTGATTCTGTTTCTGAAAAAGTGAGATGGTTGGTTAGAGGTCCGAGCATATAAGTAGCTTCTTATGCTGGCTATCTTATCAATGGATACACCTTCTATACTAAAGAGCAAGATAGTCGAAGCACAATGCAAAATAGTGGTGTCACTCTTATTGCTTATGCAATGCATGTAACTAGCTCTAAAGACAACAACCCAATATACACAAATATGTCATATTTTGGGGTAATTGAGCACATTTAGGAGTTAGATTATGTAAATTTTTAGATTCCGGTCTTCGGTTGCAAGTAGGTTGACCATAAAAATGGCTTTTTAATTAATGATAACTCAGGGTTGATACAGGTGAATCTGAACAAAGAAGGGTATAAAGATAAGCTTTTAATCCTTGCTTCACAAGATTGACAAGTGTTCTATGTTCCTGATCTTGCTAAAACTAATTGGTCCATTGTTTTATTAACAAACAAATTCATTGAAGATATGGATGATACTGTTGTTAAGGATGATCCATTTTTAGGAACGTCGCTTGAAAGTAATTGCACTGAAGGTGATGCGTTCTATATGAGAAATGATCATACTGAAGGTATTTGGATATCAAAGAGAGGAAAAAGAATTCGAGACCAGAGTAAGCAAGGAAAAGATCAAAAGAAGACAAGAAAAAGGAAAATACCAATTTAAACATGTGTGTTTTTATTTTGTAAATAATTATTACTTGTGTTTATTTAATTATTGCATATGGTTTTCTATTTTCTAAATAACTATTACATGTATGTTTGGTTAATTTTGTAAATAATTATTTCATGTGTCCCTTGATTTTCTAATTATATGTGTTCTTGCATTTTATAGGTAAATGGCTCCCAAGAAAGGTAAACGCAAAGGTCGTAATGACTTTGATGTTCTCATGGGTGGCCCTAGCATTGACCCTAGCAATGGTCCCAACGTCGACCCTAGTGGTGGCCTTAGTGTTGACCCCAGCAATGGCCCTGATGTTGTAGCTAGTAGTGATGCTCCCAGTGCTGCTCCTAGTCTGACAATGAATGATGATCAGCTTCAGGAGGAGGTAACTGAGATTAGAAAGGGCTTAGTATTAATGACAGAAGTGAATAGATGGAGGATAGCTGAACAAAAATATCCCCTATAATGGAATGGTAAAGGGCAACCGATTAAGGACAAGAAATATTAATATACCAGTTATATTGGAGCTGTCGCAAGAGCAAATGTGCCTATCACACTCAGAAATTGGAAGAAGGCAGATCAATCTATGAGGCAATATATTTGGGAACAAGTAGAGGTATATTTGTTAACTTACCATTATGTGAATGTTATGCCTATAATAGTTTATCAATTTACTAATAACATGCTAATATTTTACAGTTAGCATTTATAATTGATGCTAGTCAAAGGAAGTATGTCCTCCAAATAGCTGGGAGAGCAATGTGTTCTTTTCAATATTTTATGGGATCAAAATATATTAAAAGAGTAGGTGGAAACATTAGTTTTGAGGTCCCCACTTTAATTAAACCTTTGGTAACCCAACAACAATAGGATGAATTTGTTGCATCTCGTTTTCAAATGGAATTTCAGGTGATTTTACTTTATCAATTGATTTTAATTTTCTAATAACATTATGCTATATTATAAGTTTAATTGATTTTAATTTTTTTCACAGCAATTGAGCTAACAAAATCAGGAGTTGGTTAAGAAAAATCCTTATTCTTTTAAAAAAGGGCGTATAGGGTATTCAGGCATAAAGGAAAAGATGGTATTTATTAATTACTAATTTATTAATTTTAAAATTACTCCACATTTATTTATTATATTTGTTAATTGCTAATTCTTTTGCTATTGACATGCATAGATTGAGCGAGAAGGCATAGGAGTTAATAGCATATCCTACCATGTTCTTTTCATAGAAGGCCGAACCAACAAAGAGGGTAACATTACAGATGAGCATGTTCAGGAGATAGCTAATAAATGTGTAAGTATCAATGTTATTAATTTGACATAGTAAATTCAATTTTTTCATTCAAACAAATAATTTAAGTTTTTCAATTTGTGTCACATAGGCTGCTATCTCAGATGAAGTCTTAAAGGGTGAGCGTTCGGAGGATAAAGATATCTTAAGTTAGGCATTGGGTAATCCTGACCACCCCAGATGCGTTAGGGGTATTGGTTTTAGCATCACCAAGAAGCAAGTGTTTGGGACTACAAAGCCATCAAAAGGTGCAATGCCTTCTTCAGCTGAGTTTAATGCACTAAAAGATGAGGTTGATAGGTTACATCAGTTGGTTGATGTGTTGCTCACGCCCCAAGGAAAGACATCCACTCCTGTGGACATTAGTCCCAATAGTAAGAGAGACAGTTACACCGTAGCTCAGCCTTCTCATCTGAACCTTCCTGAGGTAATATTAATATTTTTTTAGTTATATTCATTTTTGTATTAATAACTTATAAATTTTTCCATTGCTTTAGGGTGAAGCCGAATGTGACATGTTTTTCGATTCTTTAACCGGTTCACTAGTTTAATTATCTTTCAGTTTATAGGTGTCAACTGAACCAAACCAATGATTGGTTCACGTTTGAACTGAGCAATTTGATTCGGTTTTCAAAACATTAATTTAGACAAGGAAAGAAAAATGTGGGAAAAGAAAGATGGATATAAGAAAATGGGATGTGAAGCTACCAAATTTTTTAATCCCGGTCTCTCTCTCTTAATTCTCCATTCCTTTTCAACATATCAAAAAATTTTAACTCTCTCTTCTTTCAATGTCAGCCAACACATATGAGGGGATCATTTTCCTCAGTGTCAAGAGAAATTTTTGCATAGATTAATATATTATATTATCTATATTTCATTCATAAAATTACATTAAACTTAAATAAAAAATAAAATTACACTAATTCAATCTAATAAAACTTTATATATTATTTTTAATAATTTTATTTTTAGAATATAAAATTTACCTAATTTCTTGTATTTTTTATTTTTGTTATCATTAATGGTAAAATTAATTTATATTTTCAGTAAAATAACATGTTTTTATTAAAAAATAACTTGGTGCATTGTGCCTGTGTAAAAATTTTTCCAATCTCAATGCCGTGTCTTGAATAGGTGACAAAGGGGCTGAGAAATTTTCTCAATGCAAGCATGCCACCGGGGACGCAAGCAAACGCGAATAAAAGATCATTATCCTTAACAGTAAAATGGCAGTCGAAGTTGACAATAAAATTTTTCAATGATGCTTCTATTCTTAATATTATATTCTTACATGAGAATAAAATATTCTTACTCAGCAACTTCGTTATTTTCGTTTTTGCCTTTCTGCTCGAGAGACGCCATCTTCCACTCTAGCGGCGTGTTCTTCATTGCGCTCTTCTTCTTCGACTCAGGTTAGTTCTTCTTCTTCATCCTCTTCTGCAACGTTTTTCTGTTCGATTTTCTTCTGTTCTGGTACTGGCCTGATTGCTGAACTGCCGCATTTGATTTTGTGAAATATTAGGCCTGGAACGATGATTTGAGTGGTGAATGATTTTGAATTTTTCAGAATTTTGGAAAATATTCTTAGCCTTGTTTTTCTGTTGTTTTAGCCTTGATTCAAACCTTCGATTTTAATTTCCTCAGAATCGGAAAATGTTTCGCTCAGGCCTGGAACGACGAGGATTTGGAAAATATTTTTATCCTTGATTTTGAAGTGTAATAGTCGATTTTTTTTTTTTTGGTTGCCAGAGTAATCTTCGATTTTGATTTCTCAGAATTGGCTGGGCATTAGTGTAATCTTCAAGTACTTTCTTCGATGTTGAATTCGAATGTATGGTCTGATAGGAAGGAGTACATATAGCATACTCTATATCTGAATCTTGGTGTATACATTTGGAGGGACGGATTCTTTCTCCCGATATAATTTTTCTGTGTAAAATGTATTTATTTTCCTAACACGTGAAAAATTAATTTTGGCCCCCCCCACTTTCTTATAATCTTTCATTTTTGGCCCTCCATGCATTAACCTCTAAATCCATCCCTATTATGAGTATATAATAGGAAGGAGTATATATTAATATGCATTAATATTAATTTTTCTCTTGAATTTAGTGTAACCTATTAGTGTATATTAATCTCTGCTAGGAAGGAGTTCGGTTCTTAAATAATATTAGGCCAAATGCTATATTATTTTTACTCTCTTTTCCTTGGTGCCCTCTATATGCCTGATTGCTAGAAACGTTGTAGGGATTTTGCTTTATATAGATATTTGTCTATGATTCCCAATGCTAAATCACTTTTTACTAATCCATTGCAACTTTGTATCAATGTATGATTGTGTGATTTTGGATAGGGGCAAAGGGAGGGTATGAGTAGGGGCCACTGCGTCCCTAATTTTTTAAATTTTCTTAGTATTATACAGATATCACATACTTTTAGTCCTCCCATAACTTTTAAAAGATTTGTAGTATATATATTTTTTAATCTTGGTCCTCCTTATTATTAAATCCTGGGTTCATGCCTAGTTTTGAATTTTTATATAAATGTACAACTATAATAGTGAAGGAATGATCAAGGATATTAAGGGAGAAATTATGGATTTGGAGTCTAAAGTTAAAGAGCTGATTAATTTTGATGTGGCAGATGTTGTAATGACCATAAATTTTAGAAAAACTAATTTAATTTAAAAAAATAAAAAATTATATTAAATTAATTAATAAATTTTTCCTAATTAATATTTTATTTAAATCAGTTTTATAATTAGTGGAGAGAAATAGTTTAATGAAATTTATGTTAGTAACATTTTTAAAGGTTTAGAGTTCGAAATTTATTAAGCAAAAGTTTGATTTTATTCTGTTTTAAATTAGAAAAAAAAAATTTGTGTCTCTTATTGTAATTTTTATTGTGTCTTTTCTTGTAATTTTTTTATTATTCATTAATACCAGATTTTTCCTCTACACCGCCATTCGAACACCGGAAACTAATGGAAGAGTGTGGAATTACATATGTGCCCTTATTTCTATTGTGACTAGCAAAAATATCTAAGGGGTTTTGTTGTAATTTTCCAATGGTTTTATTGCTCAAATTTTCTTTTCCCCTTTCGGTCAGCATCGCAGAACAGAGTGAAGGGAGTTCGAATATGATTTTCTCTGCTCTTCTCCTCTTCCTGTCGCACTTCCCTCAACCTTTCACCATGGTTTATCATCTCCCCATCGCTGGCAGTTCTTCCTCGCTCTTCCCTCTCTCGTTCGTCAGCCTCTATGGAGCTGAGTAGTTGAAACTTCTCCTCTGTTTCTCACGTCTGAACCTGTTTCTCTCTCCTCCATTCTGTTCGATCGAGGTAGTGAGCATGCAAAGAGTTGAGCTACGGTTGGAAGCCCGATTGTGTTACTTCCATATTTGTTCACGGGTGCTTAAAGGAAGGGAGACTTGAATGAAGTCTTAAGAAATAAATTTTAGTGTTTGGGTATATAAAAGGTAAGTAGAAAATGTCCCAACTGATTTTTTTCAATTAAAATTTTTTTTATTAAAATATTACGTTTTTTTCTGGAAATTATTTTAATAACATTAATGTGATTATTAGATATTTGTTGATTAACATTGCTTTATTTTGATAAATTAGTTTTACCAAATTTAAAATGTTATTTGATCAATTAAATCAAGTTTGAACTTTGATTATGAGATTTTTATTTTATCAAATATTGGATTGATATAGAGAATGATTTTTGCGAGTTCGATTTTGAATTTTTTTTTTATTCAATAAATGCAAGCATGAGCATCAGATATGAAATTTAATTTTGGCAAATTTTAATGGTTAAAAGTATTCATGCGAGTTTGATTTTGTGAATGAGAACTGTATCTTGAAAATGATGATTTTCTCGCATGTATGGAAATGATTTTAAAAAGGGACTTTATATAGAACACTAGTTGCTAACGGCAGTTCCGTTAGCTCTTGACGCGTCATGGTACACCTAGCTAGTAGGGTATGTATAGGAGGTGTTAGCCCCGTGCGATGGCCAACGCACGTGGAACGGAGGGATGGTTATTCGTGAGCATCGTACTCACGTTTGTTTTCGTGGCAAGAGCCATGTTTGGTTATTTACCCTCGTGGACTGTGTGTCCACGTTTGATTCGTGGCTTCGGTTACGTTTGGTTACATACCCTCGTGGACTATGTGTCTACGTTTGTTTTGTGGTAAGAGCTGTATTTGATTATTTGCCCTCGTGGACTGTGTGTCCACGTTTGTTTATTGTTCTGATAAATCCCTATTATTTGAATTTGATTATTTGGTAACTTTACATCCCATTGGTTTTAAACAGTAAATTATTTATAATTATTGATTTTGTTATTTGTTTCCTTGCAATCAAATGATAATATTATTTATTATGAGATTTTAATGGTTTGAGATTTTATTTAAAATTTTATAGAATCGTTTTATTTCGAAGTTTATTAAATTTTTATAAAGATCGTTGTCTCTTTATCTTACATAATCATTTAAATTTTTTTTATGTTCAATTATTTATTGTTGGGACGTTATTCACTAGAAAATATATTTGGTCTCACATATCCTAGTTAACGCCAATCCCTCGTTGATCCATGAGAACTCATAGATATGTTGGGTAAAAAACTGATCAAAATTTTCCCTTTTATGTAAACTATCAATGCTTATGTATTTTATTTTGGAGGGGTCTAGTTAGGTGCTCCACATATGCTGCATCCAGGGCTTCTATTTTGGTATATATACTGTCTGTTCATTAGAAGAGCTAAGCTCCTGATTGACATGGTATCCTGTGAATATTTTGTATTGTAGAGTTTTGGATGATCCTATTTACAAGCAAGGTTTTGTCGATATTTTTACAAAATTTTTTTAAAAAAACTTTATTTTGATGACCAATATAAAAAAAATGTTAAAATTTTAATATAAATTTGATCACATTTTAGAAATAAAATGAGTTTAAAGTTAGAGGCTTGCGGAGATGTGTTATATGATTCACATCTCGTACCGGTTACCCTCTATTTTTGGGGCGTGATAGATGTAATCTTAGAAACTTGAACCATGTGTTGCAAGATTGGGAATGCCTTTGTGTATATGTACTATTGTACAACATGTTTGTTTTATTGTATATGCAATTTATTTGTTGGAAGAGATGTCAAGAATATTTAATAAACCTATAAGTGATGATAATTTATTTGTTGAAGGATCGTAACTTTTTTAGTTTGTGGTGAAATGTTGGCCCTTTTTGTGTAGAGAATATATACTTTTTGTCATGATGTTTCTAATGCAGCGACACGCTGGCCTTTTTTGTTTAGGGAATATAAATCTTTTGTCATGATGCTTATGATGTACTATCAACCTGACCTTGGTGTTTATAATATTTCATGATCAAGGTGTTGGAGATTTTGTTTGTATAAGTGCTTTGATTAATTTGAATAGTATTAGTACATTGTTCTTTTATTAATTTTAATAGTGTTGGAAACTATATGTAGTATGATAATGTATAACTAGAAGTACCTTGGAGTGGGAGTGTTTGGACAGAGGAAAATCACAGGCAAAAAAATATTTACTCTAATCTTTTTCTAATTTTCTTTTAGATTTCCCTCAATCCAGGTCAAATTAGTAAAAAAATAAGTAAGAAAATACTTTTTCCATTTATTTTTTTAATTTTCTTTTTGCCAGTTTTATTATTTGTCCAATATAAACTTAGGGTGTGTTTGGTTAACAGGAAAATCAGAAGGAAGAGAAGAACACAAAAAATGGAGATGGGACAGGTTTCAATGATCATGTTTAAATTGGCAGGAGGGAATGTAGGAGAATGATTTTAATGATATGTTTAATTGAGGACAGGAGGAAGAAGTAACTAATAAGTTTACTATTACATTTTTATTATGTTAGAGTTGTTTTCTTTTCTTATTTTGATTTTTAGGAAAAATAATTCTATTATAATTTTTAATTTTTTTCATTTAAAAATGTCCAAACTTTCATTTTCCATGCTGTAAAAATCTTCAATATTATTTATTATATTTATTATTGTTATATTTTTGAAAAATTATTTATTTAATTATATATTTTTGAAAATGAGTGCACATATTTAAACTCACTAGTCACTAAATGAAGTAAAAACACGATTGAGAGGATTGCATAACTATAGTATTTGGTTTAAAAAAAACACAATTTTAGTATTTAAAAAATTTTAAAGATAACTTAACTTTTAATTTTTAAAATTTGTTTCTATTATCAATTTGATCTTTAGAGATAGGCCGGGGCACATGGAGGGGTGCTTGACCCCACACTTCAATCATCCTTTAGAAAAAGTTGGCATTTTTATTTGTAAAAAAAAAATTAAAATATATTTTGGCCCCCACTTCACATATTTTTAATTTAGCCCCTATTCATTAGCTCCTAATCCTTCCACAGTCAGGGACAGGGACAGATCCAAGTGGGGGCAAGGAGGGGCGTTTACCTCCCGCACTTCAATCATCTAATAGGGCTGGTGATTTCCAAATTATTTGAACATCACTACCTGATATCTATGTTAGACAGTCTAGGAAGGAAAGTGATTTAGTGAAGACTAACACTAGTGGTCTAGAGATTTATCACAAGATTTATAACTGTAAAATTATAATGGTAAAAGACAAATCAAGTTAGGTGTAGCCAGAGGTATTGGTAGTGTTGTATGTTAATGATTACTTTTTTGCTATTTAAATCTTTCCTTTCATCTAGGGAGAAGGAAGTTCAGTCTTCTCAAATGAAGAGTGGTGAGAAGGGCTATAACTTCTACAATGCTAGATTGGGGTGGAGGAAGATCATTTTTTGGGAGGAGGGTCTCTCCACTTCCCTCCATTTCCCTCCACTTCCCCTATCTTAATCATTCATTAATTCTATAATTTTAAAAAATTATTTAATAAAATAATATGAGTAATTGAGATGGGAGAAGTGGACGGAAATGGAGAGACTCCTCTCCCTCATTTTTCTTCATTATTTTCTTTCTGTTTTAGTGTCCTTGTACTCTATAACTATATTTGATTTAGTTTAGTGTATGGGTGTATGAGGGTGATGTGGTTAGCTTGAATCATTATTTCCCTTGTAATGCAACTTTACTATTCAATAATGAACTTATCCATCCCACACTACTAGTCTACTTCTGATTTTTGTTTGATATAAGCTAATAAAAGTCAAGGGTTTTATCATCATCCTTGGAAAAATATTTGAATTTTTACTTGTAAAAAATTTTAAAATTGATTTTGGCCGTCCCACTTCACATGTTATTTTCAGTTTGGCCACATTGATTAGCTCCTGGATCCGTCCCTGGTCTAGGATAATGTGCCATTATAATACGAGTGAATTCTGTTTAGCTCATGTCTAGTTCCACCACATATCTAATTCCACTCAAGTCTATTTGTTGGTTTTTGCAATTTTGCAGCGGTTTTGCGTTTCCTATCAGTCCTGCCAAGACTGTAATCCATGGCACCAGATGGCGGTCTAATTAGGTATGTTCATTCTTACTTTTGGAGTTTGCACATAACAGATATCAGTAGTACAGTTTTAGAAATCTACTAATCGAGAGCTTTTTACAAACAATAAAATATTCAATTTCTTCATCCCGTTCCCAGCATATCGACATACAACATGAGATTTATGAGTAGGAGTAAGAGGCAAAGATGTTGGAGTCAAATATAGTATCATTGTTCATATATAGAGTTTTACTTATGTTCAGGTATTCTCTGAAATGAAACAGATTGCATCCTTAATTATTTGTATATGTGTCTCTATGTACTGCTTTCTTTTAGATCTGACCTCTAGCTTTTGACAACTTGTGTCCTTTAACCTTTTGGCACATGGTGTTGCAACCAACCTTGTGCAGAGTAAATGTTTAAAGGACACAAATTGACAATAGCTATAGATCCTGCAAGTTTGGTGAGATGAGATCTGCCAAAGTTTTTAGTTTGGAAATTTCATTTGAACTTGTGATCATTTTATATCTGTTGCAAACCTTCCTTATTAGATCATGTAATATGTTAGGAAGATTAGATTATGCATTGAAGTACAATTTGCCTATACATTTTTTGAAGAAATAATTGATATCCTTATGGTATAAACAAAGGATTTTCCTATAAAGATTGGACTTCATCAGGGATCATCTCTGAGTCCTTATCTGTTCAACTTGATCCTACATGTTTTGATGGAACATATTCAAGGAGAAATTTCCAAATGTATGCTCTTTGCGGATGATATAGTTCTTATAGCAGAGACAAGAGAAGAGGTTAATTGCAAACTTGAGTTATGGAGGAGGACATTGGAGTCGAAAGGTTTCCGTCTGCGTAGGAGTAAGACGAAATATTTATATTGTAAATTTGGTAAGAGACTATTTGACAATAATTTGAAAGTGAAATTGGGAGATCAAATTATACCTCAAGTGGAAAAGTTTAGATATTTGGGAGCTATTATTCAAAATGATGGCGAAATCAGTGGAGATATTTTACATAGGATTCAAGTTGGGTGGTTTAATTGGAGAAAAGCTAAAGGAGTTATTTGCGACCGTAAGGTGTCTAATAAACTTAAAGGAAAGTTTTATCGCACTGCTATCAGACCGGCAATGTTATATAGTAGTGAATACTGGGCTCTAACGGGACAACAAGAGCATAAAGTTGGAGTAGCAGAGATGAGAATGTTACGATAGATATGCGGATATACACGTAAAGATAAAATTCGAAATGAGCATATACGCGAAAAAGTGAGGGTAGCACCTATTGAGGAAAAAATGGTAGAAAATCGGTTGAAATGGTTTGGGCATGTACAAAGAAGACCAAGGGAGGCACCAGTGAGAAGAGTTGAACATATAACTTTGAGTCCGATTAAGAGGGGTAGAGGAAGGTATAAGAGAACACTCTTAGAAGTTGTTGAACACGATCTCTTAATTAATAATATTCCTAAAAGCTTGATAAATGATAAAGCACAATGTAGCCGACCCCACCTAGTGGGATAAAGGCTTGTTGTTGTTGTTGTTGTTGTATGGTATAAACATGGAATATGAATTAAGGTGCTTATGCATCATTTGTTTTCTTCTATGATACACTTTGTTTTTTTTTTTTAATTGAGAATAAAACATTCTTTGCATAGGGGACATTCTGTGAGATTGATAGTGATAGTGCCACCGGAGGATTCCGATGTGAATCAAGGTAATTATTCCGTTACTTCCCAATTTAATGAGAAATAATTATTACTGTTTTTGATGCTGTTATGTTTAGTGCTACAACTTTGATGTATAGATTTTGGATCCTAAAATAACATGTCAATGCTATTTTAGGCGATTGCCTTAGGGCCACCTAAAGATTTTATGTGCCATCAACAGATTGAGAATTTTGAATTCTATTATGAATATGTATTTGGTGTCAAAGATTGGTTGATGTTAATTTTGTTAGTAAGATCCTATGATCTAGAATTGGCCTTTGCATATGTTTTGGATTGTGAAAAAAAAAATTACTATTGAGATAGAGCTAGAATTGGTCTAGAAAAATTTATATGGAGAGCCAAAGTTTTGTGAAAAGCTTTAATTAATAGATACAACATTTTGGTGAAGATGTTAGTAATGAAATTATACATTAAGCTTTTGTCCCAAAAAAAAAAAGAAATTATTCATTTAGCTGAAGATTCATTTTGAATTGAATAAAAAAAGTATTCATGGTTAACTTGTGGATGCAGACATTGATCAATCAGAGGTTGAATTCATTGATTTTCAACAGGGCCTTGGTGAGCGAGCTGCCAAACGAGGGGATAAGGTAGTATTCTTTGTGCATGTTTGGTACTTGGAAAAATATTTTTTAGAAAAGAAATGGAGAATGTATCAGGAAAAAAAAAATGAGATGGGTATAGTTACTATTTTCTTTATAAAAAAAAACTTTTCTATATACTGAACATTGCATTTCTTTTTCCCCTTTTCTCGGTTGCTACATTGTCATCCTTCTAGCTTGTTTCTCTTGATCCCTACCGATTTAAATTATATGCGGTTCTGCCAATATTATTTTTGGTCAATTTTCAATTGAATGTAATGTATATATTGTTCAATTTAGGTCAGAATCAAGTTTCAGAAGTTAAGCAAGACTGGTGTAGTTGAAGTTGAAAAGGGCCCTCTGGAACTGAATTTGGGAGAGAACAAATACGGCCCGGGTATGAATTTTGCCGCTGCTGCTACATATGAAGTACTAATGCTTCAAATTGAATCACATATCCATAGGATATCAATGTTGTATTCAATACTGATATTTATTTATATTTCTTCGATACATATCCGTAGAGTATCGAATTATTATTTTTTAATTTAAAAAAATTGTTTTTGATATATATCAAATACTTTTAGATATGAGTTAATATTTTAAAGCTGATACTTCAAGGCTATTTTTAAAAAATTAAATTTTATTAAATATTACAATATTAATCTTTTTTATTTGTAAAATATTTTATGATCTGCATTTAAAATCAAATATTATATTTTCCTTAAAAAAAGTTTTATATATAATAAGAAGATAAAAATTATACTTTTTAATTATAAAAATGGAGGAATATAATCTTTTGGCATTTAAACCCTAGGTAAGGAACTATTAGCAGAGATTAGGCGATAAACAATCAGGTATAGATAGAATAAAAGTACAAGTAATGATTATATTTTGTTTGATATTATTTTATAGGACTATATATGTATATGCTATTTTGGATATCTTCTAAACTAAAATTATATGTTTAATGTTTTTTATTATTTTTTATAATTATATGATTAGATATAGATAGAATAGAAGTACAAGTAGTGATTATGTTTTGCTTGATATTATGTTACATGACTATATATGTATGCTATTTTGAATATTTTATAAATTAAAATTATATTTTTAATTTATTATTATTTTTTAAAAAAATATATATGTATGTATCGAAAGTGTATCGTATCATATATTTCTAAAAATAAAAGTATCAAATACATATCGTATTTGATTCATATATCAATATTCGTGCATCATAGGCCGTTACTGCTGCATTTGACATAGACCAAGTTTATTTGATGATTGGTTGAATGTTATGTACTTTGTGTTTTATTATAAAGTATAGCAATAAAAATAAGGTAAAATGACAACAATACCCCTTAAACATGAAAATAATAAACAAGTATAATGAAATGTGATAATTATTATGCAGTCCCTATTGGCATTTTGGTTTTTTGTAAAATGACATTTTTGTCTCAAATTTAAAATTTGCTAACAACAGGATTGCTGATTATCTGGCTAAGTTGACTCTTAGTATTACTTGTGATTGTAGTTTGTTTCAAGAACCTACTTATTATGTTTATGTTTCCTCGAGGGGTCCTTTTGTGTTTTCTCTTTGTTTGTTGTTACTTAGTTTATACCTATTTACATTTTTGTGAATGAAGTTTCCTATTTATATTCCAAAAAAAAAAATTGTTAAGAGACATTAGTCATTTGCTATTAAGTTATAGTCACTTTTCCAAACAAAGTATAGTTATTTCCCAATTATAACTACTTTTTGATTTTTAGTAATTGGACTTGACGGATAATACAAATTTCCAGAGAGACACTTGTCATTTGCCATTCAACTGTAGTCATTCCCCAAACAAATTAGTCATTTTCCGATTAAATTAGTAATTGATTTTTAATATTTGTATTTGACTGATAAACAAAATAGGCACAAAAGAACTTATCATTTATTCCATTTTAGTCATTAATCCAAACAAAGTAATCATTGATTGTTTTAACAGTTATTTTTCATTTTAAATTTAAATTGGGGGAAAATATATCATTTCATAAAAAATCAAATTGCCAAACAAGTTCCTAAATGCTACACAATAATTATCACATTTTACAGCACTTATTTATCACTTGTATATTTCCCCCGGGGGGCGTTCATTCTCCCTAGACAGTAGCCAAGTGAAATGTATTTTTATGACAAATTCTTGCATTAGAGAATCAATTTAATTGATTGTGGAGTTGATTATAATCCTATTCTCAAGTAGGAATTGATCAAGGGATCATTGGAATGAAGTCCGATGGGGGGAGAGAACTCAAAATCCCCCCAGATCTTTGTCCCCCAAGCAAATGGCGTGTAAGTTTTTTTATTTCAACAATGTATTTCAAAATTCTAGCGCATGGAATTTTTCCTCATTTAACTTTCCTAAGATTAAGAGCAAATTCTACATGCTGATAGTAAAATAGATTATTTTATATATGGTCCCTTGGCAAAGAAAATCTTTTCTTTTGAACTTGATCCATGGTAAATTGTTCTAGCTATAATTCAAGAGTCATGACTTAAATTATATGATCTTTTAACCCAATTAACGAAGGTTCAGAAAAGAGTTACAATTTGTCTGTGTGTGTGTTTGTATAAAATAAGCATGGTTATTAATAGAGTATAATAGTATCATGCAATTTATATAGCTGAACTTACCTATTAAGACAAATCTTATTGTTGTTGTTGTTAAATATCAAATGAGCAAAGGGGAAAGAAGAAAAATGAGCAAATATAAAGGAAATATTTATGCACGTATTCTAAAATTATAAATTATTAAATAAGTATGAACAGTGTGGATGACTATGATAAAATATTGATGGACATTACTTTTTTTTACTATATATTTTTCTTTTGAATGTAAATATTCTTTTTTAATCTTGTGGATGATTATTTATTTTCATTTTAAGCATACATTGTCTAAAATATATTAATTGATTTATGACCAATTTGATGATAGTCTAATTTGTTGAACCATGAGCCAGTTCAATAATGATACCTTTTGTAGTTTCTTTTGACAACTCATAAGTTTGGCCGTGGGTGTAAATTTTTAGCTTTTGAAGAAGAAAATATTTGGCCAGAGCTCGAAGGATAACAAGAAATTTCGTGTTTACCTTTTGGCTATATATTAAATCATGGAAGCTAGAGCAAGGAAGCAGTGGAGGGGCAACTTTAGATTTCAAGACCATATTGGGATTTCGGCATTTTCTCTCATAAGTGTTGGAATTCAATTGCCGCAGTGCTGAATTTTGTGATATATGGAGAGTCTAAGTTTTATGAAAAACCATAGATTAATTGGGGGGGGGACATTTTTGTGAAGATGATAGTAATTATGAGCTTATACATTTATTTGAAGATACTTTTTGTATCTATATAGGGTTAATGTTTAGTTTTACTCTTGAACTTTTCGTTAAGGAACACTCAATATTTTAAATTTTTTGTCATAATAATTTGTTCTTAAAGTAATTATTCATTCTAATCTTATTTATAAGTTATTTTCAGTATTTTCATTGAATCTAAAAAAAAACCTTAAATTTTATTAATCTTGTCTAAAAATTTAATAATTTTTTAGTTTTATTCCTATTAAATAAATCTATTTTAAAATGAAATATTTCAACATTTAATAAACTTTTCAACATTTAATAGAGAAAAAATGATAAATATAAACATAATAGTATGACTAAAATAAATATTTCCTCACTGCTTAAGGGGAGTAAAATGTTGAAAATTTATCTCTTAACATTAAATCCTCAAATATTGGTCATTAACTTCTTATTCAAAATGTCAAGTTTCTTGCCATGTCGATCTTGGTAGGAGTGGAAAATGAAAAAAGAATCAAACGGGTGGAAAACTTCGGCACTATTCCCCCACAAAAGTTCGTCAATGTATGAGTGAACCCATTTACGTTCTTCAGATGCACCTATAGCAGCACAGGCACTAAGAACTCTCACTAAAAATGACAACAATCGATCGACGATCAAAGTTCCAAATCAAAAAACATTAATCCCAAATACGAATAATCAAAACCTCAGATTGAAAACAATGAATTCAGGCACAAATAATCAAAACTCCAAATCAAAAACAATGAACGACATCAAAGAAATGAAACCAATTATCATCATTTGCTTCAGCTTCTCACCATTATCGACGGCGGTGGCTGCTTCTGCTTCTCACCCAACTCCAACTCACCTTGCTCACAGCCTCGATTTAGTCTGCTCACGCAGCCATTTCCATTCTGGACTTCCGTTTCTCCTTCTATTCTTGTTTGTTCTCACAATTTTTTCGATTGTGAACCACCGTGCCAGAAGCAGTGAATGAAGGAAAAGAAGCAGGTAGGCTGGAATCTAAATCGGTGATGAGGACGAGTGAAGCAATGAACCAATCACGGCATGATGTCAACTGAAACCCCTAACGCACAAGGCGAGGTCAACAATTTTAGGGCCCTTGAGGTCACATGCACACGTAGAGATGCTGAAGTCTCCGACAGAGGAAAGGAGAGGGGACGCCGTGGCCGTCGCCGCCGCGCACACACTAAGCCAGGAGCTTGAGATGGATCGACAGTGTTGGTGAGAGAGAAGGGGTGATGAAGATGACTAAACAATGTTTTAAAAATCGAATCGGACAATAAACTGAAAAAATCAATGAATCATGGGTCTCATGATTCAACCAATTAGACTTATAGTTGAATAGATGATATAATAATTAAATAAAAAAATAATATTTATATACATATATATTAAAAAATGGGTTAAAATGGTTCAACAACTCTGGGTTCTAAGTTTTTACTTCGAGTCTTCAAGAATCGCTTGGATCAAAACAGGCTAACTGTTAATTGTCAGAACGGGCCAAATAATTGAATTAGATCATTTTCTTCTCCATGTGATGGTTAAATTAATTTGACCGGGTTGGTCTGAGTCTTAAAAATGTGTGACCGAGGACCTTAAAAAATTTAAGGGGTAAATTTTGTCTGAACATATTGTAAAGCAATGATAGTTAGGAGTCTTGTCCCAAAAGAAAAAAAACAAAACAAAAAAGTGATACTTATGAGTCAAATGTCAGAAACCACATGCCATGCCACTTTTGCAATAGAAAGCTGGAAAAACATATCTGCGGGGTCTTTATGGTTTACATCAATTTTTGATCAAGTTCCTGTAATTTTATTTATTAGAATTGAATCCTTATACTTTTGCCCATTAAAAGCATTAATCCTTCCCATCATATTAAACCGTTAAAATGCTTTAACATTGTCAAGTTAAGGTTGAGTCTGACCCATCAACATCTTCCATTGTGGCAGCTCCAGCAACAACGCCATCTGCGTCTTTGCCTCTGAAATGACCTTGCTTGTTTGCTTTTAGAAATTTCTTCCATCCCTGTTGCACCATTGACTTTAGCTTCACGTATGAGAATTACTAGGTAAGCGTTGCCACTTTCACTTTGTTCCACATTTTATTCTCATTTCCTTAACATTTCTAGGGATGTTCTTTACAATTTCTTTACCATTAAAATTCTAGCAAGGTACCTAATTTGCACAAATCCCATATAGTTGTAGTCACAAAACAAGAAAAGTGAACAATATCTTTCATTGGTGAACAAATTGGGAAAGAAACAATGAAAAAAGCTTGTTTTTTTTGGACATGGGCTCTTTTTAACATATCATCGGGACATTGAGGGATTTCCAAAAGAAGAAGAAGAAGAAGCAATAAGCAACAATGGCGTCAACAGAAGTTTGGCAAGTCTTAGGTTCAAAGCTTCACTCTGTCAACTTCAGTGAATTACAAAATGGCCAAGAGAAGAAAGGGAATTTCCCACAGATAGTTCGCGAAGATGCAGATAGGGTTTAGTATAGAAGCCCAAAGAGAAAGAGAACTTTCTCAAAAGAGGCTTTGTTATTCTGAAGATTCAAATTGATGGTCACAACATAGACAAAAGGTCCCTATTTATACTGTCTTTGTTCTTAAACTGAAACGAGAAGATAAACTGGGGGGTTACAACGGTTACGAATGAGTTTTATTGTGCATTATGGAAATGTATCAACAAGCGTACACCCCTTTCGTTTCACTCTTATTCCATTTCATCCTCCCCCGGTTGGACGTGACTCGCCGTTGAGTCAAAGTCGGCATCATCGTCAAGATAAGGTGACAAATCAACATTGAAAGTAGCAAAAACTCCATAAGCACTAGGCAATTCAACCCTATAAGCATTATTATTGATCTTTTGCTCAATTTTAAATGAACCATCAACTCTATGAGGCAACTTGGTATTAGGTTGTTTAGGAAAATGCTATTTCCTCTAATGTATCCAAACAAAATCTCCCACATTAAAGATTTACAGATTCTGATGCTTGTCTCACTGCATCTTAAGTTTGGAATTTTGTTTCCATACCAAGATTTTACTCTGATTTGAATTCAACAAGTAATGTTTTAAGTAAATTTGAATGATGAAAACTTGAGATCCCATTTCTATAAATCAAACTTGGTAATATAATTGGATTAGTTCAATGATTGCCTTGAGTTTTAACGTTAACAGTTGATTAGTAAGGGCAAACTTGCATCTTATTATAAGAGTTTTATAATGACATTAGGATGGAATGGTTGTTGTTGAGAATAGCAAAAATTGTCAGTAAATGACAATTGCTGCTACCCGAATCTCCTTCTAAGTTTTCTCTATGAGTTTTTAACAAAGCTCATTGCATTTCTATAGTAGCCTCCAGCTCTTGCATCTCACGTCTCATCTCATCCTTTTCAATATCTTGCATATTCCTACAGCTTGGAGGCATTTTAAAAGCTTTTCTATAAGGTCAAGACTTAGGCAAAACAAGTATAGGGTGTAAATATAATTTCTAGGAGTGTAGAGGTGAAAAGGGAAATTTCAAGGAGTTTGGGCTAGAGTGTAATTTTGAAAAAATATGGGGTCAAATGAACATTATGTACAATTAAGGGGTCAAATTAAAGCATAATTTCTAGAAGTATTTAGGACCAAAATGAGATTCTAGAAAGATCAAGGGCAAAGTGTAATTCTTGAAAAGATGTGAGGTCAAAGTGGAATTTCAAAAAGGCAAGGGGTCATAGTATCTGGTTTGACAGGCTGGCATTGACAACTCAACCTTGATGACATGTTTGCTATTGTCAGCATCTTCAACCTCTGGCTGGCTTATGTGGCAGGTCAATTGATGGCGATGGTGCATAGGCTTATTACGAAGGCATGTGATGTCACATGGAGAAGTTTTCTAGCGGTGGGACAACTCTTGTTTCATGTTTTTAGACCTCCTAAACACAATGGTGAGATCTAATTTGGGGGGAAAATGACTAGAAATGGGACTTCTAAAAGCGGTAGTGATCTCCTTCATTGGTGTCGTCTCAAGCTCGATTCTAGAAGGGTTTTTTGCTAGTTCCCTAGATCTGGAACTCTGCTTTAATACCAAAATGGTACAGAAACCCAAAGGGAAAGAGGGAAAATCTCTCAAAAAAGACTTTGTTATTCTGAAGATTCAAACTAATGGTCACAACATAAAAAGAAGGTTCTTTTTTATATTGCCATGTTTCTTAAAATAAAACAAGAAAATAAATTTTGAGGGGGTAGGTTGAAAGGGGTTACAAATGAGTTTTATCTTGCATTGTGAAATGTATCAACGGAGTTACACCCCTTCCATTTCACTTTTATTTCATTTCAAGGTTCTTGCTAGAGTTGCTACTAAAGACATTGATGGGTCAAAACCTTACTTAATGCCGTTAAAGCATTTTAATGATTTAATGTGTTGGACAAGTAAAAGCACAAGGGTTTAATTCCAACAAATAAAACTATAAGGACCTAATTTTTAAAATTTTAAAATTTAATGTAAATGTAAATCCTCATAATTAATCTTAAGATCAAAATCCACCACACCTCAAAAATACCAACTGAACAATCTTATCAAGAGATCAATATTAAACCGGTCCCTCTCATAAACAATTCATAATATAATGATTGAGAAGGGGATGATATGGCGACTTCGTGTGAATGCAAAAACCAAAATCTTTGAAAGTCATAAGTCCAATTTCCAACTCAAACTAACTTGCTTCCCCTTCTAATTCTACTACAAATGAAATATAAAGGAGAACCAGAACAAATATGTCAAAACCCATGAAATTTTACCTTTGAAGCTAACTCTAAGCCTCTTGAATTTTCTCCCTGGTTTGTTCTAGAAAGATTGATTTATCACCTCAACGTATCTCATAAGTAACTGAAAGAGAAGTTTTTTTTGACTTTATAGGAGCAAAATTAGCTTTCACAAATGCGAGAGGTGAGAAGGAGAGCAAAATCTAGTTCGTCAGAAAGAGAAGATGTAAGACACGGATGAGATGTGAGACGGTGAGGGAGAGACAAAGAATGAGAGGCATAAGGTTAGGTGGTTG